CGCCTGTCACCCGGCTCCCTCTCTGGCCCACGCCCCTCACTGCACAGCCCCAGGAACAATCTCTCCCCTCCGGGTCCCCTCCCCACTTCCTCTCCCCTCAGCGCCGGCCCTACAGTCCCAGGAGTCAGACGCGATCTCCCTGCGTTCCCCTCCCTCCTGTCTCCTCCCTCACCCTCTCCCTTCTCTCTTCCCCTCCAGCCTCCGCTCCTTCCCGCTCACTCACCCTCTCCCTCTCCGCTGCCCCCCTCTCTCTCCCCCACCTCTTTGTTTCAGCGGAGAACTGGCTCCTCGGGACAGTTCCCACACTGCAGTGCCTCTGGTGCGGAGACAGCGCCACCGAGGTGAGCGGGGAGCCGGGACGCGGGCGCGGCAGCCGGAGCTTTGGGGAGCGGGCAGGTGGGGACACGGGCAGTCCGGCGCGGCACCTCCCAGCCCGGGGCAGCGGCCACTGCACTTGGAGTGCCTGAAGCCCTGGCGGTCAGCAGGAGCCGAGGGCAGAGGGGCAGCCACTTGGCTGCCGGGGGGCAAAGCTGCTCAGGAGCCAGCAGGCTCTGTCCCTGCCCTGGTGCCTGGCTTCTGCGGGTGTCCTTGGGCTGAGGGGGACCCGCAGGGGGGCCTGACTGGGTGGGCGTGGGCTGGTCTGCCCAGAGTAACCACTCCTGAAGGTTCGAGTGTATGCTAGGTCTTGGAGTCCAGGGCTCTGAACCCTGCCTCTGGCAGGGCTGTGGCTGTGAGGCTGCCCACAGGGCTGTGACCCTTGAAGTGCCTGTCCCTGCTGGGATTCTGGTTGCCCATCAGGAATGTGCTGGGCTGTTCCCACTGCCCAGGTCAGGGGTGTGGACAGAGAAGGAGAGATCTGCCTGCTGCCACGGCTGGCTGTTTTCACCCCAAGCTCCTGACCACCAGACCCACAGAGGCACGTGTGGGGAAGGGCACTTCTCCCTCTGCTAGGGGTCTCTGGCCAGCTCCTTCAAAATAGGATCCCCAGGATGGTTTCACCCACAGTAGCGAGCAGGAGGGATTCAGGCCAGAGCCCAGAGATGATCCTGTGGTCAGCTTCCCGAACTGGACAGGGAAGAAGGTGGGGAGCAGGGGGAGGAAGAGAATAGGTGGAGACAGAGCCCCGGTTCTTGCGTGAGGCTACAAGTGCAATTACTGGAGATGACCCAGGGTTACCAGGAGATCCAGAGACCCTGAAGCTGGGCAGGTGGGTGGGAGTGGATGGAAGGGGCAGAAGCCAGTACCGGGGCCCCGCCCCCTTCTCAGCTGGAGCTAGGGATGGAAAGGCAGAACTACATGGGGACAGAGTGTGCTGCTCACACTTCTCCAGAGAGACTAGTAGGGTGGCTCTGCTGGCTGCCAGAGGAAGGGCAGGAAAGGCTGGGAATATTCAGGGACCAGGGGGTGGATCTCCCCAACGGGGTGCATCTTGGGTGTCCAGCCTCTGGCTATCTGGCCAGGCCAGGGCCAGGTTCTATAGCTCCCTGAACCCTCAAGGAGTCAGCAGTGGTCAAGATTATGGGGGGTAGTGACCCATAAGGCAGAGCTGCCAATGGTATTTGTCCCCCTAGGACTGGTCAAATGGGATACTTGTTTCCAGGGGCTAACTCTCCCTCACCCTCTTCCCTAGCCAGAGCCTCCTCATCTGAGCAGGCAACAACCCCACATGGACCAACATGTACAGAGAGGTGGAATCAGAGCTATGGGCATCAAGTCTCAAGGGCCTGGGGGTTCCTCCACAGCCCAACCCATCCACCTCTACAGGCCCAAGGGCAGCCCAAGCCAGGAGAAGTGGGAGAGCAAAGCCTCAGGACTGGTCCCAGTGATTACCCGGGGAGCAGCTGACCCCCAGACATCGCTGTCTCAGGGGGAAAGCCCACTCTTCCCAGCCTGGACTCAGCTCCCACAGCCCCACCACTCTCATGCAGTGGCCTGCCTAAGCCATTGGCTTCACCCTGAGTGGTGTGTCAGTATCCCCCTGCCCTCCCTTATCACACCCCAATTCTCTCACTCAGCTAAGGGACTCCTAGCCTGCAGTGAAGCCAGGTCTCCCCCACCCCAATCTGGGCCTCATCATGTCCCTCACACGTTCCAGATCCAGAGGGATCAGGCTACCTTGTCCATTTTTTCTGAGACACAAGGGGGCTCTCTCCCAGGCTGGGTCAGCTTACTCTAGCCTCAGCTGACTGCCCCGCCCCCTGCCACCACTCATTGGTTCTGTGACGTCTTAGGGCACTGTACCCCAGAAGCCATTTAAAACTCAAATACCACTCCTTGTGAGTGCCAGTCCAGTGCCAGAAGGCCTCAGTCAGTGAGCACCAAGGCCTTACTGAGAGGATGCACCTCTCACCTGCAGCACCTCCTCCACCTCCTGGGGCGTCCCCAGATATCCCCCACCTCTGCAGTAAGGAAGGCCTCAGAGTCTGTCATGAAACAGCCTCCTGGCATCGCTCCTTGCCAAAATCCCCATGAAGCTTGCCACCACTGTCATTGTGAAGTCCGACCTCTCAGCCAGGCACACAAGGCCCTTTGCCAATTGGCCTCTGTCAGCTTTCATGGCCTCCTTACCCAACTTGCTTGACTAGATGTCCAGAAGGTAACCACACCAAACTGTGTCCTCACCCTGGGGTGGGGCAGAGCACAACCCAGAGGCCCGCTTAGGAACTGGCTGTGGGTTGAGCTAGACACATACATGCCCACACGTGTTCCCACGCACACATAATATGGATATGCATACGGATGTACACACACTTCTATGTAGAAGCCCATCACCCAACTGCACGTGGTTTTCTACCAAATTGTACCCACGATGGAATGTGGACTCTGCACCAAGACAGGACTGACAAATCTGTTTTATGGTTCCCAAGGGTAGTCATGTCATTATCTCTAAGCCCTTGAAGGGCATCAGGGAGGCAAGAGTGAATCCCTGACTCTGGCTGAGCTCTCTCCGGGCCCCAGGATCTCTGAGCCCCAGTGAGTCGGCAAGCAGGTCCTGGCCAGACTCTCCTTCTAGTTCTGTGGCAGATTTGCTGTGCAGCCCCAGACAAGCAACCTTCCCTCTCTGTTTCTCCAGCTATAAAACAAATGGATTTGGGTTAGCTGACACCTAAGAGCTGTCCAGGCGCACTGCCCAGCTGTTTTCAGTTCATGCCAAGTACAGAGAATAAAAAGACCTGTAAAGGTGGCAGCAGTGGGGGAGGGGGGCACCTTACACGGCAAAAGCCTCCAGCTGGGAATGGAAATGAGGCAGGCACAAGGGCAAGAGGAACCTGAGCCAGGACTGGACCATAGGATGGGAGTAATTATGACCCATAGCTGAAATTTATGGAGCAAAGAGTTAATCCTATTGAACACTGTATGGTGAGTACCACACAGCATTTTTCTCATATTTGCATCTAGATTGAGGCCAAGTAGATCTTTTCTCATCTTGGGGATGCCAAATGAGCCAATCTAATGGGTCGGGCCAAATCCGGCCACTTGCCTCCCAGCACCCACAAACATAGATGTAGGGCAAGAGCCATAGCAGCACAGGGGAGACCTCTAGTGAGACCCCACTCACACCCAAAACCCTAAGCAGGCAGGCAAAAGACCTAGTGTGTAAGCAGCAGCACATCCATATCCCCAGCCACCCACACCTGTGTGCTCATATGCCACCACACACACACACACGTGGACACCGCAGACAAGTACTGTGCCTCAAGCCCTGCCCTCCTACCCCACTCTTGCCTGGAACTGGACATCCAGCACTAACAGTCATGTCTGTATGGGGAAAGACAGACACAGGGCAGATCTAGAGGTTGCCAGAAGAGCAACAGGGCACAGGCACTGCCATGTGGGGACATTCCCTAGACTAATACCCCCACCCAAGACAGTGGGAACTCCATGCCTATACAGAAGGAAGCGGTGCCCTACATCACAGAGAGTACAAACTCCCCTCTTCCCTAAGGCTCCCTGGCTTCCAGAGCCTGGCTCACATTGTTCACTTCGCCTTGTCCCCAGGTCATGAACGATCTGCAAGCTGGACTGTCCAGAGTCCAAGTAGGAAAGGGAGGCTCTTCCCAGGGGGAGAGCATGCCAGCCTTGACCCAGAGCCCCTCACACCTTCAGAGAGGAGGGTATAGCAGGGGTGGATGAGGGGGCCACCAGGAGCAGCCCCAGGCCTCGCTGTTCTCTATGGCTTTTTATTCCTATGTGATTCTACTGCTCATTCATATAGGGATTGGAGCCGTGGCGCACGGCGGGGGCGGCCAGCGGAGGGCTCAGCTCCTGAACAAGGGGGCCGAAAGAGAAGTAGCTGCTAGCCTAACCAAGGGGACCTTTCCTCTGCTGCTCTCCCCACCCCCACTGACCTCTTCCCTGCCCAGCTGTAACAGAACGGGCAGGTGGCTGCTGGATCCGAGCAGTACTCCTACCCACCATCTCAGCGCTGGAGACCACCACTGCAAGGCTGGCACTGGGAACTGGACTATGTCCCAGAGGAGCAGCTAAAGGAACTGGGATGTTCAGCCTGGGAAAATGGGCCTGACACAGGAAACAAGGTCCAGAATCCCATGTGGCTGAGAGTAGCCCATGGATAAACAAAGGGCATATCAACCAAAGATGAGGTCTGTGCCTAAGGGCTGTCCAAATACAGAAGGGAAGGACAGCCTTAGTAGGTAGTAAGCGTTGACCCAGCAAGGCACATAGCAGAGGCTGGAGATCGTGACAGGGATGCCACAGGGGAGTCACAGTTGGATAGGTGGCCAGTTGCTCCTGGACCCCATGTCTGCAGTCCTTAGATATGTCTTTCCTGGGGTGCTTGCCACCATCGAGTGTGTCAGAAGCCAGGCTCAACAATCCTAGGCTCCTGTTTAAGTGAAACAAGTGCTGAGTGTACCTTGCAGAGAGGGGTGTGGCGAACTCCTATAGGGTTTTACTGCCGGGGCTGCAGCCTGACCCCACTCCCCTTCCCAGCAGCTCTGTGTGAATCTTCACTTGAGGGAAAACACATGGAGAACCCATAGTGTGGTTCTTTTTATTTGCAGTCCTTCTTGCTTCACCCCACAGAAAAGACACTCAAGAGCTCAGCAGAGGGGCTGTTGGGGTCGGGGGAGAAGACTGGGAATAGCAAACTGGCCAAGGGGCTCATCCTGGTCCTCAGAGGTACATGCTGTCTGTCATGGCAGAAAGTAGGGAGAAGAGAACCCCCATCTGCCAGTCTGGTTGGAGGAATGAACACAGAGCAGAGGCCATGGGTGTGAGGCATAAGGGCCAACCAGGCAGCTAGGGCCAAGGAAAGAAGGGGCCCTAAGGCCTGCTGAGGCCTTGGAGAACAACCTTGGTTGGCTCTAGGATGCTGCCCTGTAGGCCTCCTATGTACTCCTAAAACACGACCTACACCATCACCATGGCCTCAGGAACAGAAGGTGGACATCCATGACATTGGTGCCAGTCAGCCCTGTGTGCAGCAGGTGCGCCCCACCATGAAAGCAACGGAAGAAGGTATGTGAGTCATTGTGAGATAGGAAGGTGGCCACGTCCAGGCCCTCAGCAGCAGCCTGGCTGGCCAGCTCAGGCATGACCCAGGCCCCGGCTGCCTCTGTGGGCCCATCCTGCCCATCGGTGCCACCACTCAAAAACAGCACATCTACAGGCCCCAGTGGCCGTTGTCCCAGCTCAACTCCAACACGCAGGGCCAGTTCCTGGTTCCGGCCACCCTTTCCTGAGCCCTGCAATTGCACTGTGGGCTCACCACCAGCCAGCAGGCAAACAGGGCCCCCAGCTCCCACCACAGCCTCCAAAGCCTCCTTCAGCTGCAGGTCTGGGAGCTGGAGCTCAGCTGCCAGCTCCCAGAGTTGTTCGTCCTCCTCCGCAGAGGCTCCAGCCCCAGCCGGAGTGAGGCGGGCTCCAGCCACCTGGGCGAGCAACCCGTAGAACCGGGCTATACTTTTCACATCACCCTGTATGGATGCACTCAGCACCGCGGCCCGGTATCCCAGCACCTCAGCCTGCCGCTGGGCCTCGGCCAGTGCCAGTGCGTTGGAGCCAATAATCACATTGAGCACGTGGCCACAGGTGTGTGGCCCATGAGGGTCAGAGTCAGCTCGAGCCAGCACAGTCTTCACGGAACGTGGCAGGGCAGCACGAAGGCCGTAGCGATTGAGGATGTGCAGGCAATCTTGCACGTTGTGGACGCTGGCCACAGTGGGGCCACTGGCAATCACCTCCACAGGGTCCCCCACCACGTCTGACAGAATCAGGCTCACCACCTGGGGTGGGGTCGCAGAAGCAAGGCTCAGTCCCTCCCAGCCCTCACGACACAGCCATAGAGGACAAACCGCCACACACCCCCTGCCATGTATCCACAAACCCTCACGCTGTCCAGTGTGTTTTCTCACCCACTTCTAACCCCTCTCAAGGGGGTTTGCAGAACATGTGGCCTTTTGGACCCCCAATCCTCTCTGATATCCCTCTCAGCTAGCCTTATGGACTCCCACACCAGGCCCCTGCCAATCTGTATGCTGTTCTAGGCTTTCATCTCCCTGGCGCATGTGGGCCAGGCTCCTCCAGCCCAGGGCTCCCTGGGGTAGAAACAACCCATGTACCTGGGCAGGGTAGGCAGCCTGAGCCAGCCCCCCACCCTTGAGCTGGGACAAGGCCTTCCGGATTGTGTTCAGCTCCTGGATGTTGGCTCCGCGGGCCGCCAGCAATTTGGTGAGTGTCTGCTTTTCCTCCAGTGTGACTGGTGGGATAGGGGCCGGCAGCAAGGCTGAGCCCCCACCTGCAGAGACAGTGAAGAAGTCAGGCAGATGGCACAGAACTGCAAAGGAACCCCCCACTTAGGGCAGCAGGCAAGCAGTGCCCATATTAGGGAAGGGGATGCTAGAGAGGTGGGATTAGGGTGCCCCCATGTGGACATGCAGTGACCGTGTGTACAGTCCCCACACCCTGGGCCCCTGAGGCTGTGCCCTGCCTCAGAGTAGCCCAGGTCCCAGCAGGCACTGGAAGAACTATTCCTTAAGAGCTTGGAATAGGGGGCAGACCAGGAGGAGATGGGGAGACCAAGGAGGGGCTCCGTGGGGGCTAGAGACCTGGGCTCTAGCCCCAGATCACACTGACACAGCAGCAACAGCAGGGACATTTCGCCTGCAACACCCTGAGTCAGATGTTCCCTGCATGCCCTCTCATGGTCACCCAACAAGGTCAGTCAGGGGAGGACCCCCTTGGCTCCAGGGAGGCCAGATACAATGCCCAGGGCCACTCGGGAGTCAGCCATCCAGGTTCTTTACTGCCTCCCTTGCTGTGACCCCGAGGGCTCAGACCAACCATTTCTCACAGACCTGGTATTTGGAATACCACCACCACCATCCCCCAAACTGTCCCACATGAACCAATCTGGCACCCACACCTGAGATGAGCACAAGCAGTAGGTCGTCAGCCGTAAGGCTTTCAGCCAGCTGCCGGATGGCCAGTGCGGCCCGGAGTGCATCACGGTCTGGGAGGTTGTCCTCTGCGCCTTCAAATACCTGGACCCGGCTGTGTGGCTTCAGCAGCATTTCCCTGAAGAGATAGAGAACAGATAGGAAGAGATGGGGAGGGCTTCTCTCCTTCCATCTGATTTCTCAGCTGTACAGGTGAAGGATACCAACTGGCACCCATCCTGGAGCCAGTCCAGACCCAGAAGGAAAGGGATGCTGGTGAGAGAGGGAGGCCCGATGCAGCCTGAGTCTGGGCCTAGCTTCCCTGCCCAATGGACAGTGGGCAGCAGCCCCCCAAGGCTCCTTACTGCTTGCCAGCATGCTCCATGGCAGCACGGATCCCCTTGGGAACGCTGATCACACCCTGCACGAGATGCTGGCGCAGTAGTTCCTCCGCTGCAGCTGCCATGCCCAGCACAGCCTTGCCAAAGCCCACCAGGTAGAGGTTTTGCCGCAGCTGAAAGCTCCGGTCCCGCACCTTCATCTGCCCACCGCCAGGATCCAAGGACAGTGCCCGGTGAAGCATGGGGCCTGGAAGCACGGCACCCACAGCGCTCTCAAACAGCTGCTGTGCCTGCTCTGCGAGGGCCATGCCACTGGCCAGCCGGACCACCGCGCCCCCCGAGAGGAGTGGGCGCAAGGGGGCTCGGGCCAAGCGGGGCAGGACCTGCAGGACTGCAGCCATGCCCCACTGCTCTCAGTACCACCTGGCACCCATGGCTGCCTAGGGGGAAGAAAGCACTAGTAAGGTCGCTGCAAGACCAGAATCAGGCCCCCTCCCCCCAGCCACCTCTCTGAGGGCTTGGGGCTGCTGGGCCCCACAGTGGTTGCTGCAATAGGCCATCTGTCGTCCAAGACTATCTGAGGCCCTCAGCTGCCTGATCTAACTCTAGTTCTTGGAGCCCAAGCCTGCCACCTACCATGTCCTTCTCTTCTGCAGGCTACACTCTGGCCCTCTGGACACTCTGCCTCGAGTCCAAAGGTCCTGTTAGGTGAGCCCTCCCCTAGGCCAACTGCTTTGGCTGAGAGTTAATCATTCACAGAGGGAGCAATTCCTCTCATTGGGCTCCTGCACCACCCCTTTTCCACCCCCTGCACTTCTGAGCCCTCATTCAGGGGCAACACCCCTTTCTGGCACTCCTTCCTTGCCTCTTTGCCACTTCTGTTGCCACGAGGTTGCTGGCTGTCCCACCAACTGACCCTGAGCCCGATGACCTGCATGCAGCCTGCTCTGTTTCATTAGCTCGTGGATCTGGGCTGGGGAGCCTGGGAAGGCTAGGTCTGTGTGGGGAGGCTGTAGACTCACAGGAGCACTGGCAGGCAGACCCAGCGCACATCCTCAGGACACAGCCTAAGGGATCCCAGTGCTCAAGGCCAGTCCAGCAAAAGGTTTGGGTTCAAGTGAGAAATGGCAGCAAAGACTGGCTCATGGTGGAACCTCAGATAAGTCCCTAGATACCACACTAAGGCCATATACCTTGGGAGTCATGCTGCAGGACAGAAAAGGACACCCTTCCACCTACTTGGCTAGCCAGATTCACCCCTGCCAAGAACATGCCTTTCGCTCTGACAAGTCTTGGGTCACACCATCCACAGGAGTGAGAGCCTAGTGTCTGGAGCAGGAAAGGCCAGGCTTCCAGAGCTGAGGCCAAATAGTCATTCTCCCCAATGGTCAAGGTAAAGGCTACAGAAGCCTTGGGGTGAAGGTCAGGAGGCTGTAAAGGAATTCAGAGACAATAAAGCCTCCAAAGAGCTCGTCTCTAAGAAAGGCATCTGCTTTAACAATGCCCACCATAAATGCTGCCAGCTGACTGCAGCAGCAAGTATGCACAGAGCAGGGGAAGGAAGCTAGGAATCAGGCTTCAGCTCTACCAAAGACTCAGTTCCTTTTCTCTCACTGGGCCTCACATACAAAATGAGAGGTGAGATGAGAAGATTAACACTCTGCCCTCAACATCCTTGGTCTCTCTGAAGCTGCCCACTGTTAACACAGAAAAGCTGAGCCCTACTTTATCCCACACTCAAAAACCTAACAATGTGTAGCCCTCAGCCACTTAGACAGCATGGTTCTCAGCTTTTCCATAAGACCAATGCTGCCTGACTCCAGCATGAAAGGAAACGCAGAGAGTGCTGCCATAGGGACTCCGGAAAATGGGCTCAACTTTTGCCAGGAAGCCCCTGGGGCTGGCCCATTAGGCTAGGAACTAAAAGCAGCTTCGAATGTAGCAATAGCTTGACAGCCTGTATGAACTTTGTACCTCTTTCCCAGATGCACCCAGGCCTAGAGGATTCCAGCCTTGCCACAGCACACCAGAGCTCAGGGGAGGAATGGGAGAGGGGTGTTCAAAGCAAAGGTGACCAGTTAAAATATAAGATGTATTTGAATTTCAAATAAACTAGGAATTTTTATTTTTTTATTATTTTGAGAAAGAGAGAGAGAAAGAAAGAATGAGCAGGGGAGGGGCAGAGACAGAGAGAGACAGAGACAGAGAGAGAATCACAAGCAGGCTCTGCACTATCAGCACGGAGCCTGACCACGGGCTCGATCTCACCAACCTGAGATCATGACCTGAGCTGAAATCAAGAGTCCGACGCTTAACTGACAGAGCCACCCAGGGGCCCCTCAACAAGGAACTTTTAAAATATAAATTATGTTCCATACAATATTTGAGGCATTACCTACACTAAAAAATTGTTACCTATCTGAAATTCAATTTTAACTGGACGTTGTTTTTTATCTGCTAACCAGCTACTCTTTACTCAGACATCCTCCCTCTTAAAACTCCCAAGTACTCCAGAGAGAAACCCGGAAACACCGAGAAGACCCTCCTTGACTCCTCCTCGACACCAAGTGGGGCTGGCGCCACTTCCGGCCTTTTCCTGCCCGCACATGCTCCGGAAGTAACGTCATCCTGAGGCCGGAGCCTCAGACCTTTCCGAGGGAACTTCGCTGCCGCGTGATGCCTGGTAGTGACCGAGAAATAAATGCCTGCCACCACCTGGACCTGCCACTGCTCCGCCCAAGGACGGCTTCTGTGGGACCTCACACAGTCGACTTACCGTCCCAACGCTCTGGGTGGCGGCTTCCGGTGCCAGAGACCGGAAGTACTCGCGGGTGGGCGGAGCGGAATCAGGAAGTGTGGGGTGAGAGGGGCGGAGTTGGGGTGCTGACGGGCTCACGCTGCTGTGGGAAGGGGTGTGGAATTAGAGCGAGTAGGACTCTGGCGTTTCCCCCGCTCTGATTTTTGGGAGGCTTGGGTGGAGTCACTGTCAGGCTTTATTGCTTTCATCTCTGCAATGGGGGCAATAATCTCTGAGTCACCAGTTGCTTTAAGCGTCCCTTCCTTTATCCCGTAGGATGCTATCAGTCAGCAAATACATTTCTTGCTCCTGTTAGGTGCCCGGCACTGTACTGCGCAGAGGGACTGAAAATTACAACTTGCCCACAATTCTCCCCTCCTGGAGCCAGATTAAATAATCTCGGCTCCTCCCCACCTCTATAATCCCACAACAACTCTTTGTGTTCTCCCCTCTCCTTGGCCAACCAAGTAACAGCTCAGACTCAATTGCGTGATCCTTGAGCGCACAAACTGCGTGTAAACACGAGTGACCCTGGACCTCCCTTACTCTCTCCACTCTCAACCTGTATCCATCCTTGAGCCTGACTTGATGCCTTCCCACATTCAAAAGACATGTCCTGATCAGACTCCAAAGACACAAAAGAGTGCTTTTTTTTTAACTGATACTTTCTTGGGGAGATGGGGGGGGGGGGGAGTTACATCACAAATCACACATCAGACTTTCTAAAAATCTTAAAACATATTTCCCCCCTACCAGTTCCCTTTTGCAGCTGCCACATCTTTCCATAAGTCTCCAAACCATGCTCTGCTCTCATGAACTTCTCATACCCACTTCCCAGCTGTCTCCCTGGGTTTTTCATTCCCTTTATAATAGAGGAACTTTTATTCCCTATCACCCTCTCCCAAACTTCCCCACTCCGTCATCAAAACAAAGGCACCTTCAGGAGAATCTGCCTTCCTTAGATGTGTGGGGAGATTGTCAATGCGTAAAATTTCAGTTTTTCCTTGCTGGTAGTAAGCAATCTTCGTTCAGCATGCATTTATTCATTCCTCCATCATTCACCAGACATTCCCTAACCTTCTATGTAGGTCAAATACTATAACTACTGGGATGAGTAAAAAATAGTACTTTGAGTTGAGAAGTTTACTCTGCTTTCATAATAGCAGTCCCCCGCTACTGGAGGGAATGTATATTTGAGCGCCTCTCTCATTATTTACTGCCAGAGACTCATGAACAGATACCATTTACTATGCCAATGCTGTTCTGTCAGACTGTAAGTAGGAGACTAATTATACCCATTTTTTAAATCCCCCTCCTACCCCACTACTCACAAGATGTATTTAACAGCAAGGTTTAAATGCCCACTGGACTCTGAGTTCTTGGAAGGTCTTGGTCTAACTTATGTTTGCATCTCTACTGCCTTGCATAGGACCAGGCACTAATAAAAGCTGGAATTTGGTGGGTTTTTTTCCTCCCACCCCCACTTTCTTTCTTTCTTTACTATTTTTTTAACAAATTAACAAGAGAACAGTGAAGTACTCAGCTGCAAAGTGCTGCAGACCCAAAGTAGGAAGATAAAGATTGCTGTTAGTAAGCAAAAGAAACAGTGGAGAGAAGAAGTAGGGGTCTTCATGAAGCAGTGGGATTTAGGTCTAAGAAAATAATTAGGCTCATCAGAATGCATACACATACCTTGATAGTAGGTATGAATATGCCTATAGTCTTTTTAAGTGCCCTTTGACAATAAGTATCGATGTCAAAAATGAGGGGGTGCCTGGGTGCCTCAGTCAGTTAAGTGTCCGGCTTAGGCTCAGGTCATGATCTCATGGCTCGTGGGTTTGAGCCCCACATTGGGCTCTGTGCTAACAGCTCAGACAGAGCCTGGAGCCTGCTTTGGATTCTATGTCTCCCTCTCCTTCTGCCTCTCCCCCACTTGTACTCTGTCTCTCTCTCAGAAATAAACATTAAAAAAATGTTCTTAGTTTTAAAAATGTGATAGGCAACTTCAGTACAAGGAAATAACTGGCTGTGTAGATAAAGATGATGTAGGGAAGGAAAAAGATTTTGTCCTCTATTCTCTTAGGTTCAGTGGCTGAGGCCCTACAAACTAAACTGACAGAAGACAGATTAACAGAAAGGAAAAGTTTATTTCATATGTATATGGGAGGGGCCTCACAGAAATGAAGTAAAAACCCCAAAGAGGCCATTAGGCCTGAGAGCTTACATATATACCAGTTTAAACAAAAGGGAATAAATTTGAAAGATGTGACAAGACAAAAGGGGTTCAGGCTTCTGACGGTAATAAATTGTGGGAAACTGTACACATATATATAGGACATATATATATGAGATATATATGGGATATATATATGTGGGAAATATATATGTGAGATATATATGTGTAGATATGTGTGTGTGTGTGTATATATATATATATATATGGAACTAATGGAAGATAAGGATTGCTGTTAGTAAGATTTGTTTGTACAGGTTCACCTTGGCCTTGGTTCTCCCTCTCCTGGTAAAGGGAGGACTCTTTCTCATGGGAAATTTACATCCTACTTTTACATAGGAAGGAGGAGGGCAGGGAGCCTTTTCTGCATCTGTCCTGATATTTCTTCAACTCAAAGTAATCCTTATGCCAAAGTGGCATATTTTGGGGTGGGATATTCTGATCCCCTTTAAATAGACATAAGATATTCAGCCCAGAGTTGTTATGAGTATAAAGCAATCTAAATATCCATTGAGAAGAGAATTTAAACAAATAAGTTATAGTACTTCCAAACAGATATTTAAAATGGTATTCTAGTAAGGCTTACATATGTGTTTCTTTTTGCAAAGCTATTTTATGTTTGAAAAGATAATTTAAGGTATGCCTGACTGGCTCAGTTGATAGAGTGAGTGACTTTTGTGATGTCCATAGAGAATGTGACTTTTGATCTCAAAAGTTGTGAGTTCAAGCCCCACATTAGGCATAGGGCTAACTTAAAAAAAAAGAAAAGAAAAGGAAAACAACCATATAAGTCAAACATATAAGCCTTCTGCATTATTCAAGCAAGGTGAAGGAAAGAAGGCATATTCTGGGGTACATTACTCATACCCTATTGAGGGAGGGTTTACTGAATTTATTCATCAGATTAAATTTCAATTAAAAAAATGTTTTAAGTTTATTTATCTTGAGAGAGAGGGAGGGAGAGAGAGAATCCCAAACAGGTTCCGTGCCGTCTGTACAAAGCCCAACGTGGGACTTGAACTCAAGAACTGTGAGATCATGACCTGAGCCAATGTCAAGAGTCAGATGATTAACCAACTGAACCACCCAGGCACCCCGGATTAAGCTTTAATTTAAATGTTCCCTTTTAAAGTTTTCTTTTAATGTTTATTTTTGAGAGAGAGGGAGAGAGAGAGAGAGAGAGAGAGAGAGAGAGAGAGAGAAACAGAACATGAGCAGGGGAGGAGCAGAGAGAGGGGGGGAGAAACAGAATCTGAAGCAGGCTCCAGGCTCTGAGCTGTCAGCACAGAGCCTGATGCAGGGCTCAGACTCACTAACTGTGAAATCAAGACCTGAGCCAAAGTTAGACACTTAACCAACTGAGCCACCAGATGGCTCTAAAATGTTCCCATTTAGAGCAAAGGAGAAGGTTTTTCCTGGGTGATGTTCGGTCATCAGTGACCAGGGGAAGATGGCAATAATGGTACCCATCTTCACTAACAGTGTTGAATCTCAGGAATTCAACATGGGTGAAGCACTTGGTCCCTATAACTCTGAAATTCGCACCCCCGCACCCCACTTCCCTCACACAAGATCAAAGAGGTCATCAGGGTAGTGAGTGGTAACATTTGTGAGAACAGTGCTCAGTCTTGGGCTTTCTGACTTGGAACTTTGCTGTAAATAAGCCCTGCTTGTTGAAGAAGCTGATCACACATGATTGCAGCCATTTGAGGTTTCTGATGCCTACGGAGGTTTGGAGTGTTAGTGCACGTTGCCAGCAGAGCCAGCAGCCATTCCCCTAAAGTACCTGTCCCTCTATTGACATTCGCCCTGTTGTCCTCCAAACTCAAACTATGGTGGTATGTACTAGTGCCATTTACCACCGAAGTCCAGTTCTCTCCCCTTCTAGCACTTCCTGGCCCTCTTGTGGTTAAGAAGAGTCATTTGACTAGTAATGGCCAATGAGTAGCGAGTAGAAGGGGTGCAGCTCAGTTAACTGACCAGGTGAGACCTTCCTGAGTGACAGGTGGGAAGAGCCATCCTGCCAACCCACAAAGGACACGAATTGAAAGTAGAAAATAAACCTTTGATGTTTAAAGCTACTAAGATGTTGGGGCACCTGGGTGGCTCAGTCGGTTAACCATCCAACATTGGCTTAGGTCATGGTCTCACATGGGCTTGAGCCCTGCATCAGGCTCTGTGCTGACAGGGTGAGGCCTGCTTTGGATTCTGTGTCTCCCTCTCTCTCTGTCCCTCCCCGCCCCCCCATGCTTTGTCTCTCTCTGTCTCTAAAAAATAAAAAAAAATTTTTTTTTAATTTTAAAAAGCTACTAAGATGTGGGGGGTTGTGTTATTGCACCATAACCTGGCCTCTGCTGGCTGATATGCACACTTTATCCTGTTGCAAATTAGTTTCAGTAATCAAAACCTGCATCTGCATCTTAGAATCCTGATCTACTCTTGATATCATATCATCTGGAAAATGTTGGTTCTCACTGACATTCATCTTGCTAGATGCACCAAGAGAAAGAACGTCTTGCTGTATTTTCTAATTCAGGAGAGTCTTGTGCACTAATCAACACCGCAAGGCAGGAGCAAAAAGCAGAAGGCAGCATTCATGAGGAGAAATTCCTTACATCAGTCTTGGGATTCTGTGGTGGGGCAGATTTTTATTCAATCAGTTCATGTGGCCTCTGGGGTTCTCTTCTTTTTCTGCATTTTAATTGTGACTGGACAAAAATAAATAATTGTAGTAAGAATTCAAGAACAGCAAGAAATGTAAGATTGATGTAGAAACAAAAGT